CAAACAAACAAACAAACAAATTAGATAAAAGAATAAAATTACCCGAAAATTGACAAGATGGTACTAGTTTTTAATTTAAAGCAATGATATAAAGTTTTTATGTCAAAAAAAATTGGTTATAGTTCACGACTAAATTAACAAAATTATATAAATTTAATATAAACGTCAACGCGTGTGTTTTAACGGCGCGTGTTACATTGTCAACACTTCATATGTTTCCTTGTGTATGTATACATAGTAATGGTCACAGTATTTACTTTACAATATAATTGCAAAGTGCTAAACAGTGCCTTGGCCTTAATTCTTTGTTAGCCTAGCAATGTTGTTTTCCTTAAAACACACACACACAAAAACAGATTACTAGCGGAAAGCTCTAATCCATAAACTAATAATTACTGTTGTTCTGGTACAAAAATTACACCTTCTGGAATCCACGAGCTATCTGATTCCATTTATATGTATTTTTTTGATGAGTTTTAATTGTAATTAGAAGTTTCAAACCGAATAACGCCTGATGCGCACGTGGGATAAAGACAGCTGGCCAACAATCTCCATCTCCATAAGGGCTATATTCAGCCATTTGAACCGATTCACGGAATTAAATGTAATTTTCATAACGCGCCCACAAATGAAAGTGCTAAGCCTGATAAACAGCATCATGTCTCGAATCCTAGACCATTCGCTTCCCAGCCCGAGACCTGTAACCACTAGCTCATGCTCAGCCTTTGTTTGTTTGTTGAATTTTCGCGCAAAGCTTCTCGATAGCCGACCTTAATATTGAGGTGATAAATTAGAGGATGACAGTTAGTCAACATCAATCACCGTTAACTCTCAGGCTATTCTTTACCAACGAATAGTGGGATTGAAAGTCACATATTAACGCCCCTAGGGCTGATAGGGTATGTTAGGGATTAGTTTCGATCATGCAACCTGCAGATTGCGAGTCGAGCGCCCTAATGACAAGTGCAAGCCCGTCTATTTCTATGTTATGTCCAAAGTCTACTACAAAACTGGTATTTTTTTGATTAACTGTATGAGCTATTATGCAATAATAAAACACATCTTTGGCTTTCTGAGTTCATGAGAGTTGTCACTTCTTGGCTGTTTCTAAAGTAAAAATGTAAATATTTAGCTGTTTCTGAAGTAAAGATGTAAATATTTAGCTGTTTATAAAGTAAAGATGTAAATATTTAGCTGTTTTTGAAGTAAAGATGTAAATATTTAGCTGTTTATAAAGTAAAGATCTAAATATTTAGCTGTTTATAAAGTAAAGATGTAAATATTTAGCTGTTTATAAAGTAAAGATGTAAATATTTTGTCTGTTTATAAAGTAAAGATGTAAATATTTAGCTGTTTATAAAGTAAAGATGTAAATATTTTGTCTGTTTATAAAGTAAAGATGTAAATATTTAGCTGTTTATAAAGTAAAGATGTAAATATTTTGTCTGTTTATAAAGTAAAGATGTAAATATTTAGCTGTTTATAAAGTAAAGATGTAAATATTTTGTCTGTTTATAAAGTAAAGATGTAAATATTTAGCTGTTTCTGAAGTAAAGATGTAAATATTTAGCTGTTTATAAAGTAAAGATGTAAAAATTATCGGGATGTGTGAACAACTTATTCTTTCGGCTTCTATGTCGTGCGTGTTTCGCATGACGTCACAATTAACTAAAAGATTTATGCAGCTTCCTAGTTCTCCGAAAGGGAGCCGAAGACCGACTGAAGGGGTCATCTGTTTCAACCATTCGCACCACTATATAGTAGTGTTTTGTCTGTCAGTCAGTTAGTAAACACTAAAATGGCGTCACATAAGGGACACTTAACGTTACAATTTGTACTGTCGTGACGTCAGTAAAACGTGCGCATGCCATGAATCACGAGAAGAATTATACACTCTGTAGGCCAGAACACAGCATGACATATGAACTTGAAAAGCAAAAAATAAAAATATTTGTTACTTTTAATTTTGGTTTTATTTACTCTTGAAACAGAACACGTTCGTGGACTATGTGGATGCACATCTAGTTCGGTAAAATCGTTAGTATTTTTTATACACAGCTGCGTGTTATGTTATGTGAATCTCATACAAGATGTTATTTCGTAACTTACTAACGTTTTTCGATACAGTATTTGTTTTAGTTGTAAATACTTTTTTCTTGCACAAATCTCTGGGACTTAATGAGATTAAATTTCGTACTTGGCTAGGAATTTACCATATATATATATATATAGAGAGAGAGAGAGAGAGAGAGAGAAGTATAATATTTTTCTGTTAAACATTCCTCACGATATTTTTTATAGATTTTAGACTTAATGAAAACAGCATCTGTTACAAACACTTTTTCCGCAATTAGATAAATTTTTCAGTGACAATGTAGAAAAAAGGGGAAGACTTCTCTCGGCAAGCTTACCAGCAATAAGGATGATCTTAACACGGGCATTATCGTAGGTATCCCTATTGATTATTCTGTAACAGGACCTAGCACAAGCGAGAGTGATCAACAAAATTACGCCTGTGCGTGGCAGAACTGAGGCCATGCCGTGGCATACGTTTACCCTACTGACGCAAACGTTTGCGTCATAAGCACACAGCTCTTTCGTATGAAGTACGTGTTATTTTATTCAGACAGATGCGGTTTAAACAAAGCACGTAGGTCTCGTTTCACAAAGTGATTAAAACAACAACAGCAGAAAATCTTACTACTTAATACAGAATTTAAGTACCACAATCTTCAATCTGACCTATCTTTATTCCAGCTATCGCTTCGAAGGTTTCGCAATTACGATGGTTCTCCGAAACCAATTACTGCTATTATAAGAAAGTAATCTGATTTCCTGAGGTGATTATTTGTGCCGATAATTATATTCGTGTTGTTTTACAAAGATAATCAATTTTTTGTTATTTTGAGAGATGACAAGAGTTCATTGCTATTATTGGTTTAGATTTTGTTTTACACACTAACGTAACTTTCTGTTCGACAGGATATTTCGAACGAAGAAGCTATCCTATTAGCGAGACGTCTTCAAACTTCTTGTCAATACTACAACTGCGTCAAGTCTACTTCATGAACATGTGCTGACCTATGCTGTAGAATACGATATGGCCACGGCTTTGAAAAAACTTTTTCGATCGTCAGACAGGGGTGGAGACGACCGAGAAAGAAGCCAGCACGATGGTGGCTCCCCGAGTCGTCCATCTTCTGCAAGACGGTTCCTGAGTCATTGTGCAAGTCCAAGAAGTTCCCGCCGTGACTCTAAAGTTAGTCCAGCAGAGGGCGCATCTGCTGCAAGAAAAGGACATCGCAGCCATTCGTCTAGCGGTTTCTTCAAGTCCAAGTCGTCCACCAGCAAAGACAACAGCGCCCTCACTGAAAACGTAACGAAACATAATCATGCCATTAGAACGAGGAGGCTTATGAAGGAATTCCACGAGATCTGTAAAGCTTCTCAAAATGTAGAAGACCCCCCGTTTTTAGCAGAGTTAGTTGAAGACAACCTTTACGAGTGGAATATTAAGCTTTTCCAGATTGATCCTGAATCCGCGTTTTATAAAGACATGCAAGAGTCAGGGATAGAGTATGTTCTTCTCAATGTCACGTTTCCGGATACTTTCCCCTTTGCTCCGCCCTTCATGCGTGTCATTTCCCCGCTTATAGAGAAGGGGTTCGTTATGGATGGTGGGGCAATATGCATGGAACTCCTCACTCCACGTGGATGGGCTAGTGCCTACACTGTGGAGGCTATAATTATGCAGTTCGCTGCCAGTTTAGTGAAAGGACAAGGGAGGATCCCTCGGAAGTGTAAAGGCGGAAAAGAGTTTAGTCGAAAACAAGCGGAAGCATCATTTCGTAGTCTTGTGAAAACACACGAAAAATACGGTTGGGTCACACCTCCTATGTCCGATGGTTAGACAGAAAGTTCGTCCTAGGGGCAGGTAAGAGTTGGTTCGTAAGATCAGGTTAAAGGGTTCCCTAGTACCGTGAAGAAAGCCACAGCGCATGTTGAATGTAAAATAGGCCCATTCTATGGCAAAGTGATATCAAATAATTTTAGTTATAAAACAAATATATCGTTTTGGAATGATTATTAGAAAAATAAGTCTGTCCAACAAATAGTTATAAATACTTATTGAGGTTTTCCTACGAAATTGAAAGTGGCACAGCGGTATCTCTGCGGACTTGCAATGCTAGAAACCGGGTTTCCATATCCGTGGTGGGCAGCGCACATATAACCATTTGCGTAGCTTAGTGCTTAATTACAAACAAACAAATCGCACGAAACTGACCAGCGTAAAGTTACAGAAGGCTATCTGCGCATAGCCGTCCCTAATTATGAAAGGTAGACAAGAGAAAAGGCAGCTATTCAACAGAACCCTCCGCAAATTCTTGACCATCTCTATTATAACGTATCCACGGCCCCAAAGTACAGCGTGATTTTGAGGAAAAGGCCCGCGAACCACGAGTCCTGGGAATCACAGTCCGACACGCTAACCACTGAGCCACACCCGGCCTTGGAAGTTTCAGAATGCCTTTTATCAATTCTCAAAAAAGTCTACAGAAAATACAAATTATAAAACAACTAAATAACTTTTACAGTTGGTTTGTTTTCTAATTCAAAGGATAGAATACCACTACCACTTTGTCCTTAGGTCGTTTATTCATGTAGAAGACACAACTCAGGGGGAAATCCTTCAGAACGAGCTAAAAATGAACACATCTTTGTACATCTACTATCCAAACGCACAATTAAGCTACTTAACGTGCTATTTGTTTATCTTATTTCAAACTAGCAGTATTACTCAGCGTTGCCCGGGTTTTTTGAAAAAATAACTTACTCTCTCTGTTTCACCGTTCCATATTTCGATAGTTAAAAAATATTTTGTGAATTTATGAAAAAAACGACAAACTTAGGTTTGATTTTTTTTAAATATACTACAAATCTGTTTTAAATCAGGGCTTCCTATGAACGATGTTTTTTGTTTTTCCTTCACTGGCAAGGATAAATAGGCCCTTATGGAGAATATTTAGATTATTTTATACACGTATGAGTACCTGTTTTGCCTAAGAGGATACGTCTAACTCTTTTCTCCCCATTTCCCGTCATCCTTCCTCAAATTATTAAAATTTCAAACGTAAATATGTATGTAATATTATGTTTAATTTGCTTTAATGTAGATTTAATATATTTTTATGAATGTGATACCGTATTCACATAATGACATTAATGTATGAAATATACTACAAACAAAATGCAATTGTACTTTACAATGTATCAAAAGAAAACAAAATCCACTTCCAGGTATCGAACCACCTGGAGAAAAGAAAGTAGAATAAAATACATTCGCTGACTTGACTTTAATCTAATTTTACACAATAAGTGTTATAATCTATACCTTACTCTTTTCACGTAGTCTATTTTATGGTAGACAGAATTATCTTATTTTATAGGCTAGGCCTAGTGTTTGCTTTTTAACACACTAGTTCTGCATACATTTCTTTTGTGTGTGAGGTTAAATATATGATGTTTTAGTAGATGTATAGTTAATAATCTATAACTAAATAGGCCTGTCTATTCTAATGGTAATTTAAAAAAATTCAATTTACAGGTTAAACCCATCTTCCACTTCATGCAAGCGCACTACCAGTTACACTGACTTAAGTATTATAATTTAAGCGTTACTATTTTCACGTAGTCTATTTTATGTCAGACGGCATAGTTTTATTTTATCTGCTAGGCCTTCTGTTTGCTTTTTCACACACGACATTCTTATTTTGCATACATTTCTTTTGTGTGTGTGGTTAAATATATGATGTACTAGTTGATGTATAGTTAATGATATATAACTAAATAAGCCTATAATGCTATATTCTAAACTAAATGTAAACTCAAACTTACCAAAAAGTGTCAAGTCTGTGTAGAATTTATTCGTGTGATGTATATCTTAACGATAAAACTACAGGTTCGGCTAGCAGACGATTGACGCGTATATCAACGAAAAATTGTCGTTTTGCGCACCTTCATATGAGAGAAGTGTGACCTGCGCAGTGAACGCGGCGGACAAACAAGCAAGTAAACAAAAAATATAGAAATTTTGAGTTTGATATATAAATTCTAACTATAGGTCATCTTGAAATGACAGTTTAAAAGACAGATTATTTCGTTTAAATCTGACTTTGGTTAAGCAGAGCTTCCTCTATTTAAAAGACAGCTGAATTTTAAATAAGAGATCATTTTAGTTCAACAGAATGCATTACATTTTAAACTCCAGGTTATTTGGGTTAAACAGAGACTCACCAGTTTAAACGATAGACCAATTCTGTCGGAATAAACTTGTTTTTACACTTGTTTAATATTGACTAGTTAATTTTTTTCTACTTATCTCTACTGCTGTATTTAATCGATTTTCAGCTATTTTTTTCTCAGTAATGTTCATGATATTCTACAAAAATTACGTTACACTAGTACAATGGTTGTTCGCTTTCTTTTATCTTTCATTGTAAAAAATGTAAAATTAACGGTTAAATACTAGAAGCACACAGTTACCGGTGTATTACCCTATATATATTACGGTGTCTTATATTTTTTATATCTTAACATTTACGGGTGATTTACCATTGCTTTGTATGTTATGTGAATTTCGTTTTAAATTTGCAGGCAGTTTATCAATAATTGTGTGTAAAATGTAAGAAACTACGTTCACAACCAAGCATCTAATTAAACATTTTATTGTATCATTTTTCTAAACATTTGGCACCTGAAATAAACATTTCTAAGTGTTCAGTATTTTTCTTCCCAAGCAAGGGACTAAAATAGATACTACAAGAATTAACGTGTCGAGTTTGTTTATTTTCTTGCGTCTAGATTTTCGCATTTCTTACACTTTTCTGTAAGAGAAAAACAGAAATATATGTTAACTAGAGGGGTACTGCATACCCCCGACACGAAGCATTGATCATATTCGGCTCTCATAAAATACGAAAATGTGATCGTGTGTCCGTAGTTACTAACGGATACGGACCATTTTTGGCAGGATAATGGGGAATAATATTCCACGTATGTCCACAGAGTTGCACCACAATCCGACCATTTTTGACTGAGTTATAGAGCAAAAATAGTGTGAAAAATCTGTCCCCATGTTGACAGATAGGGATTTTTATTTATTTTCGTGACCTTTATTTACCCTCCAAAAACTAACCACTTCTACGTTGGGTCATAATCCAAATGTATACGAACTTTCGTTCAAATCCATTCAGCCGTTTTTGAGAAATTTGTTGACAAACACACACACACTGGGGTGAAAACATAAACTTCGTTCACCTTCAGTGGCGGAGGTAATAAATTGCCCACACCCACCCTGCGTCCCTACACATACTTAGACCCCCCCCCCCACCGAAGAAAAGTGAACGCAAGATTTTTCGCATTCAATGCACGCATCTCATCACTAAGCCTCATACGATACATAGAATAAATATTAAAATATAAAGAAACAATAGAAATGTCTAGCTATATTTTTGTTACTATTTCAAGTCGTATTTGGAAATATGATAAGATACGACGTGAAGCTGAATAGAAGTTGTTGAAACTGTTTAAAATTTCAAAAATAAAACTGATGAGAAAAAACATGTTTAAAGGTTTTACACGTTACATAATGAGTAAAGATTTGAAGGGCAACACAAACAAACAGAGTATTTTTGACATGTATTAAACGTTTCTCACTTAAAGTTATCATGAAGTTTAAATATATAATGTATAACTATGATCTGCTTAAGCAAATATATAATGCAAAACTATGATGTATTTAAGCAAATATATAATGCAAAATTATGATGTATTTAAGCAAATATATAATGTAAAACTATGATGTATTTAAGCAAATATATAATGCAAAACTATGATGTATTTAAGCAAATATATAATGCAAAACTATGATGTATTTAAGCAAATATATGCAAAACTATGATGTATTTAAGCAAATACATAATACAAAACTATGATGTATTTAAGCAAATATATAATGCAAAACTATGATGTATTTAAGCAAATATATAATGTAAAACTATGATGTATTTAAGCAAATATATAATGCAAAACTACAATTTATTAAAGCATGTGTATAATATAAAATCATGATTATACAAGTTTCGAAAATTGACAAAATAGGGTTAAAAATGTCACGTATTTTGTGTTTCTCAGTTTAGTAATTTAAGTTATCATGAAGAGTAGATAAATAATGTGAAGATCAAAACATCTACTAGTTCATCTAGTAGTAATTTATCAAAACCTTTATGCCTGTTGATCTAAAATATCGTATATTTACAAGTAGAAGTATTAATTTTCATAAATGTTTATATAACACTAGTTTCCAGATAAAAAGCTAATATTTTTTCGCTTTTTTAATAATGTTTAAGATTCTTAGATACCATTTTCGCCACAATTTACTTGCCAAATAATATAATTTGCAAAACAATCACACATTAATCATTACGTAGAGTTTGTTTTAAATTTCGCGAAAAGCTACACGAGGGCTATCTACTCTAGCCGTCCCTAATTTAATAGTGTAAGACTAGAGGGAAGGCTACTCTTTTACCAATGAATAGTGGGATTGACCGTCACATTATAACGCCACCACGGCTGAAAGGGCGAGCATTTTTGGTGGGACGGGGATTCGAACACGCGACCCTCAGATTGCTAGTCGAGCTCCCTAACCACCTGGCCATGCCGGGCCTCATTTAGAGAGAAAACTCGAATCTGTAATCAAAACATTATTCAAGAACACCTATGATTACTAATCTTTTACTCAGGAGCTTTTAAATGATTACATAATTATGTACAGAGACAAGCTAAACAGCTGACATGTAATTGTTTTAAAATAGAAAAACGAAACACCTGACATGTAAATGTTTTAAAACAGAAAAACGAAACATCTGAAATAAA